TCATAAGAAGCATATATAGCCCGAGGAGATTCTGATGATGAACCTGTGCTACTTATGGCTTCTGATTCTGATGGAAACTGTTTAGAAGATTGGTGGTATATGGACACTGGCTGTTCAAACCACTTGACTGAGAACAAAAAATGGTTGATAGACTTTGACTCCAGAAGGAGAACAAAGATCAAATGTGTTGATGATAAGTATCTTAATGCAGAAGGTATGGGAAATTTCAGAGTCAGAGTGAAGAATGGAAAAAACATTCTGATCAAAGATGTTTGGTATGTTCCTGGAATTAAAAGCAATCTGATGAGTGTGGGTCAGCTTATTGAGAAATGTTTCTAATGGTTATGAAGGACAACCTCTTGACGTTGTATGATTCTAATCAGAAGTTGATTATGAAGTCTGTGCAGGGAAGCAACATAATATTCAAGGTGAATGTAGAAACAACTGAAGCAGAGTGTCTTAGTGCAGAAGGCGCTGAAGGTGACAGTAAGCTGTGGCACAAGAGGTTGGGGCACTTGAACTATAGAAGATTAGGGCATCTAAGTTCTAAGAAGCTTGTACATGGAATTTCGAAGATTGTGAAGCCTCAGAAGTCATGTGAGATATGCATGAAAGGCAAGCAACCCAGATTTCCATTTGCATCAGAAGTAACCCCCAAAGCAAAGCATGCTTTGGGAGTAGTACATTCTGATGTGTGTGGACCATTTCCAGTATCTTCACTTGGAGAAAACAAATATTTTGTGTCTTTTGTTGATGAGTTCACAAGAATGACATGGGTAACAGTCATCAAGTTCAAGCATGAAGTGTTTACTGAGTTCCATAAGTTCAAGGTGAAGGCTGAGAAGCAGAGTGGTCAGAAGCTGAAGATTCTGAGAACAGATGGTGGAGGTGAGTATAGCTCTACAGAGTTCCAGAAGTTCTGTGAGGAGAATGGAATAGAACATGAGGTTACTGCTCTATATACTCCTCAACACAACGGTCTTGCTGAAAGAAGAAACAGAACTTTGCTTGATATGACCAGAAGTATGCTGAAAGAGAAGAAGTTACCTCACATGTTATGGGGAGAAGTTGTTGCCACACCAGCATATGTTCTGAATAGGTGTCCAACAAAGAAGCTGAAGGAAATTGTTCCTTTAGAAAAATGGACTGGAGACAAGCAAAGTGTTAACCATCTGAAGGTATTTGGTTCTGTATGCTACAAACACGTTCCAGAGGCTAGAAGACAAAAACTGGATGATAGAAGCAAAGTAATATTACTGGTGGGGTACCACAGTACGGGTGCCTATAAGCTTTATTGTCCAAAAACCAACAAAGTTAAAATCAGCAGAGACGTCATTGTGAAAGAGTCAGAAACATGGGATTGAAACAAGATTCAATCAGATTCTGGTGTAGCGCCAACACCAGAGTTAGTTTCTGAAGATTCTTCAGAAAGTTCTGAAGACGAGTCAGAGTCAGAAGATGAAGACTCTGAAGATGAGTAAGAATCTCAGGGAGATTCTGATAGTGGATCTAATTCTGATCCAGATTTTGATGATGATCCAGAATCTGGTGGTGATTATATTTCTGGAAGGGAAAACTCTGAAGACATGGGGTCTAGAGGACAAGTTTCCAGAAGTAACCCTGAAGGTAGTAATTCTGAAGGAAGTAGTTCTTGACAAAGTCCAGAAGCTAGGATTGTTCCGAGTTCTGGAGAAGCTTCAGAACAAGTTCAGAGGCCACAGAGAATCAGACGAATACCAAGTAGGTTTGCAGATTTTAGCATGTTGCATGATACTGAAGTAGATTCTGAAGGAGAAATCGTTCAGTGTGCCATGTTAGTAGATTCTGAACCAGTGGGTATTGAAGAATATCTCAAGAAGAAAGTATGGTTGAATTCCATGAAAGAAGAACTTGAGGCTATTAAAAGAAACGGAACGTGGAAGCTGATGAAGCTTCCAGAAAAGAAGAAAGCCATCAGCGTCAGATGGGTTTTTAAGGTGAAGCTTAAGCCAGATGGATCAATTGGCAAACACAAAGTGAGACTAGTGGCTAGAGGTTTTCTTCAGAAACCTGGACTAGATTACTTTGAGGTGTTTGCGTCTGTAGCTAGACACGAAACAATCAGACTGGTGATTGCTTTAGCTGCAAACTAAAATTGGCCTTTGATACATCTGGATGTGAAGTCTGCATTTCTGAATGGTCCGTTACAAGAAGAGATATATGTGTCGCAACCTCCTAGATTTGTGAAAAAGAATCAGGAAGGGATGGTATATAAGTTACATAAAGCCTTGTATGGACTGAAACAAGCGCTCGGAGCTTGGAATCTGAAAATTGATTCGTTTTTCAAGAGGCAGAAGTTTCAGAAATGTGAGATGGAGTATGGCGTGTATGTCTAGCATTCTGGTAGCAATATGATTCTGGTGTGTCTATATGTTGATGACATATTGCTAACAGGAAGTTGTCCAAAAGATATAGTCAAGTTCAAAGCAGTTCTGATGAATGAATTTGAGATGACAAATCTGGGAAATATGGTATATTTTCTAGGAATAGAGATTCTTTACTCAAAGAAGGGTATCATTCTGCATCAGCTGAAGTATGAACTTGAACTTCTGAAGAGATTTGAGCTAGAAAATTGCAAGGTTGCTAACACACCTGCTGATACGAATCAGAAGTTGGACTCTGATTCTGATGGAGAGGACGTGGATACTATAACCTTCAAACAGATGGTTCGTTCTCTAGGGTATTTGTGTAATACCAGACCTGATATTTGCTATGCAGTTGGAATGGTTAGCAGATACATGAGCAAACCAAAGTGGTCTCATTACCAAACTGTTGTCAGGGTTCTGAGGTATGTAAAGGAAACTCTGAAATATGGAGTGTTATTTTCGTCTGGAAGAAAGATCGAATCAAAATTTCTGAGTTATTCTGATTCTGATTGGTGTGGAGATAGAGTTGACAGAAGAAGTACTTCTGGGTACTTGTTCAAGTTTCTGGGAGGTCCAATTTCTTGGAGTTCCAAGAAATAGCCTGTTGTGGCTTTGTCAACATGTGAAGCTGAATACATTGCAGGTGTTGTAGCTGCATGTCAAGCTATTTGGCTTCTGAATCTTCTGGAGGATTTGAAGATTGAAATAGAGAAACCTCTGAAGTTGTTGATTGATAACAAGTCAGCAATCAATCTTGCCAAGAATCCTGTGCTACATGGAAGAAGCAAGCATATTGAGACGAAGTATCATTTTCTGAGAAGTCAAGTGCAGAAAGAAGTGTTAGAAGTTCTGCACTGTAGCACTCAGAAGCAGCTGACAAATATTCTGACGAATGCGATAAAAAGAGACCAATCTCTTCGCTTGAGAGATAAAATTGGTGTTGTTGACTTCTGATAGTTACTAAACTACGGGATGGTATTAGAGGGTAATTTAGTATTTACCATTTGTTGGATATTCTCTTTAGGCCCTATGTGGCATCCTTATCATTACTACTTTTGTGTATAAATAGATGTACTAGATTTACATTTAATACAATCAATTCTCTTCCAATCATTTGTGACAGCTTTATAGCATTTATTCCTTTTCTCTCTTCTTCCTCAATTTCATCACCTTGCACCAACGGTTAGTCCCTTTATCAGACAACATTGAGCAAACATTATGAAGTCACACCATTCATTTGAGTAACAACTTACAATTTGGAAGCACTAAATATTAAAATAGTAGTAGAACGTAGTTTTTCTTAGACACAAAAACATGTCATAATTATTGTGTTTACACAAATCTCCTTAGAAATCTTCACAATTTGCTAAACTATACATATACAGAACTTTTATTAACTAACTTATAAGTTTCATTCCAAAACTGGCAACTACTGAACTACCATCATGGCACTAAGTTACATAAGTATAAGATAATCAATAAATTTCCTACTAACCATGATGAAAAATAAAGCGTTATTTACATCTTATTTTTCACATGTTCCTTGACTTCACAATCCTATGTTTATTTATTCTTGAAAGTGCCATTATTTTAATCATAATTAGATGTAAATTGACTAGGTCAGAAACTCAGACAACTGCATAGAATAACAGCATTACAAATTTGTAATGAAGAATTTCAGCATAGGTCGCTATCTAATTTATCTGATGGAAAACTGTACGACAAATATCATCCATAAAAACTCTAATTTTAAGGCTTCACCAGACCAGATACCAGGCCCCGTATGTGAATAGTTGGTTGGCACTTAGCAAATTAAATGTTTCCAATACAAAAAGAGCAATGCTATTTCAACATCAAAATTTGACAAGATATAGCCGACATCATGCAAAATACAATACGAAAAATAGTGTTTTTTATAAAATGTTGAGAGAGAAAATAATTAAAACCGTATACTATGTATGATGTGTCTGTCGTAGGTTTTTGTGTTGAGATAGTTTTTCTCATACAAAAATGTCGGTGTCCTGCATGATTGCTGACTGTTGAAAAGAAATCAATCACACTTTACACGAAGCAACATGATTATTCTTCAGCCATTGGATTTTAGAAAGTTTGTTGGATTGCAGACATCCAGGTATTTGGGATAAGGTCAGTTTTCAAACAAAGGTGGGGTAAATGCAGCTCTCAAATATTACGGATGGAGTTCAACAAAAGATATTGCCATAGTTCCACCAATTGTGTGGGAATTGTAGAAATATCTTTCTAGCATACTTTCTTTCATAGATAGAAGATTAGACAGCTCATAATGTTAGAAATTGAAAATATTAACCATATATATTTTTAATTCATGATCTGATTGTAGTAACATTTGATGGCACTGACTCTATTTCCGGTAACTATGTTGCCTTCCAAATATTAAGAATTGGATTCAGGCGGTAGACTTGAAACCGGCGAGAAAAAATTAAGAGAAAGAATTACATTATTGCTTGCTCGGTTGATTACCTTACATCAATTTCATGGGTGTACCACAGACTGTGGCGCAGCAATCATAGACACCCACATGTATAAAAAATGTGGAGGGAAGAATAAACAGAAAAATTAAGATGTGATTTGAATTTCATCTGAAAGATGATCAGGAGAAATTTGGCCAAAGATGTCAGGACAGGAGTCCCAGTTTCTTTTTTCTCGAGCCTCCCAATATCCTCCCATATAGCGGTATGTCCCGCTTGCTTTATCCTTAGCAAACCACCGTGGTTTCCAGCCGCTTTCTTGCATCTTCCGGGCCTGAATATCATTCAAGCAAATATATCATCAATCACTATTGGAAACTATAAAACTTGGAAAATAAGGATATAACATGAGATCCAGTTTCATTTTAGGAACTCCAATATTATCTAATGCATATACACACAAACATACAATCTCCTACCATGAGACACATACTGATAATAATGGGTAAATGTTGCAGTTTCCATGGAGTGCTTTCTTAAACAGAAAGAATAAAATAATTGACCACTTGAATCAAAGATGAAATTGCTCGGCATGGAATAGAATTTGAAAATAGAGATTTGTCAACTTAACACAATCTACTTTGACAAATCCATAGACAAGGAGCATCATGACTAAGAAGCTTCAGATCTCTCAAAGTACTAAGTACAAATGAAACAATAAAAGCAAAGATAATAGATCACAAATATTCTATGCACCTGCCGTTGTTGCTGCTCTAGCCGCAACTTTTCTGAATTTGCCATCTCATACTCCCCATTTTCTAAATACCTCTGGTCTGGTCTTAACCTGGAATCTGTAGGCGGCAACTTTTCCTGTGTAATCACAAACAAATTACAATGAATGTCCAGTAAAATGCCAATCACACACACACACACACAACAATATACAGAATGAAGAGAACTATTTTGTTCCTTCTTTTGGATATTCTTGTTATTTTCAAATTATTCATACTTCACCTATGTTAAAGAAAAGGATTTGTTATAGACGAATAGAGCCAACTCAAATAATAGAACATGTATATGTACAGCACAAATTGCAGAGGAAACTTTTCTTTTTCTGGATAAAATGCATAAGATTGTGGCAACACAAAAAAACAGTATTAGTTAACAAAACATACCTTCAATCCAGGGGTAAGTTCATTTAACGTGATGGCAAAGCGTGTGAAGTTATATCTAGTAGGAAACATGGGAGCCTTACTTCGCTTCCAGAGTAAACGGGCCTCTGACAAAGATTCATGACCTTTCCCCTTCCCAGTATAGTCTCCATTAACATAGTGCATGCTTTCATCCCATTTTCCAAACAAGGTTGATACTGTTTTTCCGTTCCTATCTTGGACTATACCATGAACCTAAAATTGCAGGCATACCACAATAGTTAGGGACAACCCTCTTCGAAAATATTAATTATATATTAAAATTTAAATAACAAAATTTGTCACTGATGGAACTATAGTAAGATGGTCTTTGAGGGAAAACTATCAGAAGGCCTATTTTCTTTATTTTTTTTTCCTGAAATTATAATCCGAGCATTGGACAAAGTGTGTGCATTGAAGTCTATAAAATAAGACACTGTGCATAACACAAACCAGAGAGGAAGGCCAATTTAATATCATATGTAAAGAACATATTATAATCAAAAAATGTTATGCAACGGATATAAAGCAGCACCTGATGAGGATTTCGATCAATTATAGACTGTTCCTTGAACTTCAGCTTACAAGAGTACTCTTGATTTCCCTCTATACGCATTGTACCATAATGATCACAGTAAAGCTTTCCCAATATGAGATTGTATATTGATGTCGTAACCTGAAAGGGAAGGTTCATTTTGATTTACTTGTTTAAAACCAGACCAGGGTACGACAGACGCTACAGTCGTTAAAACATACCTTGCTCCACTGGAAAACCTCTCCATCCTCAAATTCCAGAGTCAAAATACCAACAGGGTCAAGCTGAATCGATCGGCCCCAAAATTTGCTTTTTAAGTTGCTATCCCCCGAAAATTTCCAACCTGTACCCTCACAGTGACATGCAACTATCATAGGGTGATGGCTGACCTGAGAGGAAGCATAAATGTCAGTAATTTCAAATAGAGAACATGGACTGAACAAAAAAAATTGCATCTCCAAATTAAAAAAAAAATAACATGTTAATAAGTTTGTATAAATTGATGGACTCAGTTACACCTTTTATCAATGAAAATCTCGTTTTGACCTCAAATGACAAAAGAAAAAGCACATATTCACACAATAGTGGATCTATGGAAGAAACCAGGAACCCGGCCCCATGAAATCATAAAGAAAATTAGAGGTCAAAATTATTTTGATTTTATTGACTTGTAAAAACTAATACATTCAAAATATCACTGTGTAGGATTAGATTATACACCTTCTCTGAGAAAAAACGAAGGCCTTTATCTGGATAATTAGCTTCATATGTTTCCCCAAGTAATGGATTAAATGGTTTGCAAATTCTTCCTTCTGTTGAAGCATAGGCAGATACAGCAAAAGCAGCGACATAGAGAATTCTCATGAGGCTATCACCCTGCATGGAAACTCCAATTGGTTAAAAAAAGGGAAGAACATTCCAACATTACATTGAAAGGGTTAACAGGTGTAAAAAAAAATCAAAAATCATGAAACATTTTTCTTATATAATATTGAAGAGCTCATATTTTCCTTAATATGGCAGGGCAATATAAATCTGTCCACCAAATCCAGACTTACCCTTTTTCCCCATTCATATGCTTGGTCCAGCAGATATGAATACTCCATTTCTTCAAAACACTTTTGCAGGGAGGAGAGAGGCTCATTAAAGTAAACAGGCAGGCAAACTTTTGTTAGATCTTTCCCTATATTATCCTTGATCATTGACCAAAGACTGACTCCTTTCTCTTTCTCTACAGGGTCTGGCAATTTCTTTCGCCTCTTAACATGAGGATGGTTGGTTCCAATATATTTATTTGAAGAATTTACATCTTCCTCTGATTCAAAGGTATCATTATCAGAAGAGAAAGATGATACTCTATAATCAGACCCATTACTTTTAAAAGAACTTGATGATAGAATATCACGGGTATCAAAAAAGACATTGTCATCTTCATCTGTTTCTTCTTCTGCAGCATCATTTCTTTCATTATCATCCTCAGATTCACTTGCACTTCCATCTGAATCAAAAGTAGAAAATAAAACAAGTGTAAGAATCACAGCTAGGTAATAACAATTGGTTAGCAGGTACGAGCATGCACATATTACAGAGAACAGACTATTTGAATAAAGTGGAGGTTTCAGAAAAATAGCAGGGGAAGTTAGGGGGGAATCAGTGCATCATAGACAGTGGCACACAAATACTTCATGTTTCAAGAAAATGAATTGCCAGACCAATGACACGTCTATATTAACCTTGATGGCAATGAAGAAATATCTGAAGTATTAACCATTTGCCAACATAAGGGTCTACCTTAAAAACTAAGTGAAGACAACACTTCAACAAGTGTACGAGAAAACTAATGCCTAACAAACAAGCCATTAAACAAAAACATACCACTAAACTTTTCTAGCATTAATCCATTGGAATTTTCTTGATCATTCCACTGTCTTTGGCTCTCATCAACTACTGTATTCTCCAGATCAACCTTGTCCGTCTGCAATAATGTAATAAGGGATAAAAGTTTATTAACATACACTACGATGAAAAGCTTATCCTTAATACGTTAAATTGAACACATGAGGAAGCAACATGAAATTTTTTTTTTGAAGAATAAGCAATCAATATACAAGTGAAACAATTTTGTTAAACAAGTTGAAAACCATGACAGCATTGGGTAATTTGGTGAATTTAAAGTAATGCCGTAAGACTACCATCAACACAGGATTTAATAGATATCTGATTTAAAAAATAAAATAAATATAATCATCATAAGAATATACCTAACTCTTGACTCGTTAGTCAAGATGATTCCAGGTCTGAGCAATATTGTTTGACAGGATAATAAACAGACTTTCACTTGGGAAGACGGACTTGTAAATTGCAAGACACAAATGAAGGGAGAAATAAACCTGAATCTATTAATGTGTCTAATTGTTGAAGATACTAAAATAAAACATTATATATAATATTTAGCATTAGTTGGTCAGCGCTTTTAACTGGAAGAAAAGTTTAAGGTCGTGATAAACTATACAAGAGTATGACTTGGTTTGGACTAACTTCTAACTTTTGAAAACTTCTCAACTTAAAATAAATGTATAGGTCCCTATACGAATGTCTGTAAAGAAGGTAAATGAGAGAGCTATTGATAAATCGAGATACAGAAGCTGATGTTTAAGAATAGCCAGCTATTGCAAGACCCTTTTAAAATTGATTTTCCATGTGTTTGCCGAGAGTGTATTTCAAACTGGTGCCTAGTTTGATGATAACAACTTACACAATTTTGCAGAAAAGAGCATTGGGTTGAGCATTTACATAACAAGTTAACTGTATAATTTGCGCCCGGGTTCTGATAATTCTAACACAGTCTTTAGAAAAGAGTAAATAAGGGAGCTTTGAAACTTCATAACAAAAACTCTTCCCATTCCTTACAGTTTTAATATTTATATTTGGTGACACTATGATACCAAACTCCTACTTGAGCCACCTATATTAGTAACCATTGTTTCAATTCTGCACACAAACCATGAAACTGAAAACATAACAATTTACGAAAAGTTGCCCCTAAGATACCCAGTTGAAGTTTTCAGCTTTGAATTAGATCATGTACCTCTAAGTGGCGTAAGGTATCAATGAGGATGGAGTGTTTCTGCTTAAGCAACATTAGTTGATTTTGTAACGCTGCAAATTCAGTTCTCATAATTTGTTCACTGTCTAGAATAGCTGCTTCACCCAGTCCTTCTTCCAGAAGCCGATTTCTCAGTTTCTCAGTTGAAATTGTTACGTTGTCCACCGGAGCCATCAATTCACTGTTGGAAATTCGAGGAAACATATCTTTCACAGCTTGCAAAGCCTCCATCCACGCCACACGATCTTCTCGTGACTCTGCTCTCAAGTGGAGTCTCTTCATTCCCGTGAACACTGAAAATCGCTTATCATCTGATTTACTCTCCCGAATCGTTGAAACCTAACGCATCAAAAATCACAAATTATTAAAATCAAAATCAAAATTTAAATAACTTTGAATACTGATTCAAACAAAATTGATGAATTAATCAACTAACCTTGAGATGGATTTCACCAAAGGGCTTTCGACGGTTCTGATAGGGACGAGAATTGCGATTGCGATTGATCCTCCGAATAGATTCATCACCGATAACCTTCGAACCTTTCTCAGTCTCTTGGTTAACGATGATTTTATCAGGACCGTGAATTTTATAGTAGGACAGAACGCCGTCTTGAAGAACAAACCATCGCGGTCTCCATCCTTTCCCGTAATTCACCCACTTATACAGAATCCCGGAGATTCCATTTCCGACGAGATCATTAATTTTCACATCGAGAACCACCGCCGGCGACTCCCGCTGGCTCCCGACACTCTGGCTCAGACTATGTCTCGGAACCGAGTCGGATCTAAGAGTAACCACCGCTGGCGGTTGAGGAGGAGGCGGCATGGTGAAGTCAGGAAAAGGAGACGGCGAGGGTTTCACCGGCGAGGCCTGATCGGAGATAGCGGATACACAGCAGAAAGGATGCATGTGGACGGAATAGCCGGAATAATTAGTTAATGCAAAAGAGTTAGTGTAAAATGATGAAGCTGACGTGGCGGCGAGAGATTGCGGCGGTGATTGAGAGAAGCTTCATGCTATGGGCCCTTAGGGCGATCAGAGTCAGAAAAAGGAAAACGGAACGGAGGCGGGAAGCGGAATTCGCGTGAGACGAGTTTAGTTTATAAGAAAAAAATAATAAAAACGGTTACGTCTATAAGGTGTAGCAGATTTACAAGTAAAATAGAAAAAATAGAAAAATGAATTCACGAAAAGAAAAATGTAATGTGAAACTGAATTGGAATTGGAAGGGACAAAGACAAAGTCTACGTCAGAGATTAATACGTATTTATGAAACTAAATAAATGAAAGTATATGTTTTTTAATTTACTTATGTTTGTTTCGGAGAAATTTAGATGGAGTAATGGGAGAGAGAACTGATCGTGATCGGAGTTAGTTATGATCCGGGTGGAGGAAAGAGAAAGGAAAAACGTTACGGCGGAAGGAGTTAGGATTGAGAGTTTTTAAATAAGAGGTTGGTTTGGTTTATTATGATGATCGAGTGGTCTTACTCTGTGTGGATTTAGGAGGGTTATGATTGCCTGTGACGAGGATACAGTGGATAAGAGTTAAAAGATGCCGCCGGCACAATGAGAGCGTGACGCGTGGAGGGGGTAAAGAGTGACACGTGGAGGCTGCTGTGTTAAATGTGTTGACACTTTGACTATGATTTAACGTCACGCTCACACCGTGGCTTCCACGTTTTTTCAGGGGATTTAATTGAAATATTCGGATATTATATAGTAGCACAAAATTGAACGTACTCTGTCACATTGGAAGCTGCTTCTGCTGAATGCTGATGGTACTCATTTGATGTTGTGTTGTTTCTTGTTGTTTTGGTGTACTAGTATCAACAAGGCAGTCAAAATTTTAAAATGGATGTTCAATTGATTTTTTTTAATAATATTTTACACGTGGTTATGAGTTTTTTTTAAATAAAATTTGTTTGACAAAAGAAAATTGTTTTTTTTTTATTTTTTTAATAAATAAAATTAATTTTCCAAATTATAAAAATATATTTTGTATATTCACTCCAATGACTATTAGAGTCGATCATGATTTTATCTATTAATTATCTTTGATCATTACTTTATCTCTTTTAAAATAACTGTCGTTTTAACAAATAAATTTTATTTTAAAATAAATTTTTTTTTTATTTTTCAATATAATAATAATTATTATTTTTTTAATTATATCATTTACTTTTTACTTTTTATAAATTTTTAATATATTAATAGAGTTAATTTTATAAAAATATAATATCTTATGACAATATTATTATATTCTTTAATTTATATATTAAAATATTAAACGAAATCATTTTAAAACGAGAAATTATAAATTACCATGAGCACTATTCTTATTTCTAACTTTGCATCTTAATATTTTTTTAATGATAATTTTTTATTTATTCTATTTTGTTATTTCATACTTATTTCATCCTCGCATTCTTTTTTGTATGCTTTACAAAAACATTTGAAAAATTGCCTGTTCTACGAATATGATACTAAATTTATCTTGTATAAGATATTTATTAATAAAAAAATTAAGATTTTAAATTTTCAAGTGATTAAATTGATTAATATTAATAAATATACTGGACAAATTTTATTCCAAATTTATAAATATACTACTATATAGAGTATTGGAGAGAAGAAATGTTTATAGTAAAAATTATCAATTTTAAATTTTTTGGATTATATAATCAAATAATAGATAATAAATCTAATCAAGAAAATGAGATATGAAAGCTGTCTCTATTTAAGTTTTTTCTATCTGAAAGTATGAAGATTGAAATTTCCGTCTCGACGTGATTAAAGATACTTAAATATTAGAATACCCAATTTTTTAGTCCTAAGATGTCATGTAATACTTATGATTATGAAAGCAGACACAAAGGATTCTGTGGAAAACACATAACATTACTGGAGATAATAATGCATAGATGAAACTACAACTTGAAGTTGCTTGAGAAAGATGTCAAAGAGAGCTCACTAGGAAAATAAATAACTGGAGAACAACATAACTCTGGGGATAACTGTGTATGGAGAAAACTAAAATTACAGTCAGAGAACAAACAACAAAGTAAGATTTCACTAGGGAAAAACACAACCTGCATGGATTTGGAAATACACAATAGAAACTCCACTGGAGAAAATAGTAATAGATTTCCATGAGAGATTCTTATTGAGGAATAACCCCGAGTTAGAGAACTCTACTAGGAAAAGGAAAATCTAAACTCTATTGAGGAAAGAATTCCTCAAAGAGGAGAATGAGGAATGAGATACTGAATAGGTAAACAATTTCCAAATACCAGTCAAGTGCCAGCTTAACAAGGTAATACACCCAAGGAGAGAAAAGATTACTTACTACCAACTTTGTGGCAGCTTATCAAAGGTAACCTACCAAAGGGAAAAAGATTACCTATTACCAACTATGTGGAAGCTTAACAAGGTAATACATCTGCTCAAGATCCTGAGGGTAAAGCAAAGATTGAATGATAATTAGCTTCCCAAGACTTTCGACATTTCACCTGGAACGGGTCTCAGCTTCTTCTTTGACCAAGGCATTACACTTGAAAAGGGTAATAAACAAGTCTCCCAAAAAGGTAAGCACTTGTTGTAGAAGATCATCAACAACTCTATCGGAGATACTCAACGAGCCGGTTAGATGCATAATAGGCTTCTCAAATAAAGAGACATCCACCTGTTGGGGGTTGATAGGTTGACTGGATCGCAACAGGCTTATCAATTTTATTTTATTTTTAAATTAGGTAATGCCAACTTAGAAAAGCCTTCAATGATTCTGTGATAATAACCTGCTAAACCAAAAAAAACTTCGAATCTCAGTAGCAGACTTCAGAGTCTCCCATTGCAGTACAACATCAACTTTAGAAGGATCAACATCAATTCATCCACTTGAAATCACATGGTCAAGGAAACTTATTTCCTTCAACCAAAACTTACACTTTGACAGTTTGGCGTACAACTTCTTCTCTTTCAACACTTACATCACAATTCGCAAATGCTCTGCATGCTCTTATTCTGACAGAATAGATCAAAATATCATCAATGAAGACCACCACAAACTAATCAAAATACGAATGGAAATTCCGGTTCATATACTCCATGAAAACAGTTGGCCCATTAGATACACCAAACGGTATTACAATGTACTCATAATGACCATACCTTCTTTCGAAAGCCGTCTTTGGAATATCATTTGGCTAACACGAATTCGATGATAACCAGACCTTAAATCAATCTTGTTGAACACGCGAGCACCTACCAATTGATCCTTCAAATTGTCTATTCTCGGAAGTGGATACTTATTCTTGATAGTCACCTTATTCAAATGCCTATAGTTGACGCACAATCTCATATTACCATCTTTCTTCTTAACCAACAACACAGGAGCACCCCACGGAGAAACACTTGGTTGAACAAACTTCTTCTCAAGCAATTCTTCCAATTATTTCTTCAACTTAACCAACTCTGACGCTGACATCCTATAAGAAGCCATTGACACCAGACTCATACCTGGTATGAATTCCACACCAAACTCTACCTCACGCTCTAGAGGTAAATCACTGATGTCATCTGAAAACGCTTCTGAAATTCACAGACAACAGGTAATTCAAAACTTGCAGCTTCACTTGCAATGCAACAAAGATCGTAAACAACACAGCTTCATCTTCCAAAAGTCCTTATACTTACTTACCAGACAAGAACAACAACTCTCAACTATCACCAAACTTAGGGAACCTCACAGTCTTACTATAACAGTTGATATGAACATAGTTGAACTCCAACTAGTTCATCCCAAGGATAACATCAATTTGGTGCAATGATAGACACACGAAATCCATCACGAAACTCTTACCATAAATGGTCAAAGGGAAACTCAAACAGTCTAACGCATTATTCATAGAGCCATTAGCTAGAGTATCAATCACCATACTTCCACTCAAGATAATTTCAAACCCAACATAGTAACACATTCAAGTGAAACAAACAAATGAGTAACATTGGTATCAATAATACCAACCAACTCAACATCATTAATAAAACAAGTACCTCAAATCAAGTTATCTTTCTTGGAATCCTCTGACCCATTCAAAGCAAACACTCAACCACAAGTATGGGCAGGAGTAGCAACAGTTTTCTTTGGTTTCTGACATTGAATGATGATATGACCCTGTTCACCACAACTGAAACAAGTTGGGTTGTCGTTCTTGCAATAAAAAACATGATGATATGTTGATAGAAAAAATAGCAAGTGTAATATTTTTGCCTTGAAGTAATAATGGGAAATTCCCAAGATATCGATCTCAAGGACTGCTTACAATTATTGAGTTAAATCCGTAGTTCAATTAAACAAAAACTTAATTTGGAATTTTGGTTTTGATATTGTCACTTAACAAAAAGCAGAAATATAAAATGACTTTTTCACATATATGAGGAGCATGCTAGGGTAAGGTGTATAATTTGACCTGTAACTATCTTGAATCCTGATCTCTTTAACAAGTTCACATCCTTCAATTACCAGCCTTTTAGATTATCTTCCCCTAAGTCCTTAGTGGGAAAAACTTTAATCATCCATCCTAAATCCTAATTCCTTAGAGATATCTAATGGAGTCAAGCCTTTATTTTATAAAGGGTTAAATTCGATAACTATAGGTTTTCCCTAGTCCTAGGCGGTATCTATTATAGTTTAATTATACAAAAACCTTAACAACTATGGTCCAGCTGGTTGTTAACTGTAAATTAATCCTAATTTGTCCGATCAAGAAGGCATAAAAACATTGTACAATTAAATCAAATTGAGAAGACTTTATTAAAGAACTCAGGAATTTATAATCATTACAGATTTAAATCAGGGACACCCCCTAACATTGGGGGGTTTAGCTACTCATATTGCTCAAAATAATT